ATGAAGGATCCGTGAGAATGGTTTGCTAATATAATAGACTAGACATCATGGTTCCTTTGTTCTTTCCACCTCTTCATCCACTTCCGACCAAAATAATACGTTATTAAAATTTTATATTATTTCAAAAGGCTTATTTATTTTATCATTTATTTTATTATTAATAAATGTTCGATTAAGTTTTCCAATTTTTAAATTATAACAATATAGTTATTTATTCTTCTTCCAATTAACATTAAAATGGCCACAAGTATTTTTTTATAAAATAACATGCTCAATAACACAACATAATATTAGTTTTTTTTTTTTCTAAATCTGAGTTAATATAATTTCAAAATTACGGATTTAGATTCAGTTTTAATATAATTACTAAAAAATACTAAGTCGTGTCTCGTAGACACGATTTCACTTTGAAGGAGTGATGAAATTTATGATTTATGACTTTTGAAAATAAAATTATGGAAGAACACGATTTTTTTAACAATGTTAAAGTAGTACTGATCAAAAGCAATTTTTGTAAAAATTAAGTTTAATTAATCAGACGTGATTAAGCTAAAAAAAAAATCGTTATATAACTAAATGAGTTTAACCAAAAGTAAATCTTATTAAACTAAAATTATACCTGCAGATGACGACTTCTATCTAAATATTGGTTATATTAAAATCGTGTTTGATATTAATGATTTCAACCTAAAATGAATTTACACTGTAATGACATGACTACTTGTGTCTATAAATAATTAAACTGAAATCATAATTTCGTGAGTGATTTCATGGTAAAAATAAAATCATACTTTTAGAAAACGACTTTGAAATTTCTATTAAAATTGTGTATATATCTCATTATTTTTCTTCTTTTCTATTTACAATGTCTTAAATATTTTTTCTGTTATTTAGAAGTCGTATCACTACTTTAAAGACTCTTTTTCCTTTCTTAAAACCTAACTTTTTTTTTTTACTTCTTTCTCTTCTATGAATTTTTCTGCATTCCTTATATTTAGATATAAACATATTTTTCTTTTTTTTTATTTTAAGAATTTAATTAATGTATTTTTTAACTTTTTACTGTGTTATATGTTTTTATATAATCAAATTTTTTTATTTTGATGTATTTATTTTAATAAAATATTTTTTATAATATTTTATATATTAAAATATTCTTTTAATAACTTCACTAATATTTTTTAAAATTTTATGTAATTTTTTAAATAACTTTTATTATTAAGCTTATACGTGATTCTTAATTACATTATTATTATTATTATTATTAAAATATGATGAAATAAAGTTATTTAACATAAAATGGCAATAAAATCACATAAAATTTAATAATAGAACTTATTTAAAATAAACTACATAACAAATAAAATATTTAAAAATTTAGTAATCAAATTATTCAAAAAAGTATTTTTAAAATACACAAAAGATTATCAAAATTTAATGTTATTAAATAAATATCTTAAAGATAAAAATATACTTATAAAAGTTTAGGAAATTTTAAATTATTTTTTAAGAATTTTTCATAAAAATGAAATGTTAATTATACATTATCTGTCTTAATATATTTAAGTAGAGCATGGCATCGATTGATGTAACAAAAAGTTAGAAGTTTTTCTTTCTCAAAGACATGTAAGGTAATCCATGAATTTAAAACCAAAGTCGCCAACATGTGTAAGGATTTCTTCTCAACACCATTAACACATTGAAGTCGTTAACCAAAAGCACGAATTTAGTTTAATTACTTTTAGGTAAAAGTAGTCAATATTAAAGATGTTTTTAATATAATTAGAATTTAGAGAAAGTTACTAACGACCGACATGTGTCAAACCCTGAATATGACACTTGGAAAGAAGGGGTAGATGTCTCAAAAACAAGAGAGTGAGTATTTATTAGAATTTTTCAAACCACAACTCATTTCATTTTCTCATAAATCTATATCTCTCTAAAAACTCAAGTATCTTATTTTCTCCTCCTTCTCTCTACTCTCTTTCTTATATTTCTCCATCTTCTCTCTAAATTTTCTCCTTCTTTCTTCTTTCGATCAACAATTCGTTGGTGCTTGAGCACTTCTAGTATAAAGGACTTCATTTTTCACCGATCAAAATCCTCTCTTGAAGCTGGTAAGGTCCGAACCTTCTTCCTGTGAATTCTCTGTATTTTTTGTGCATGCAAGCATTGATCAGCTTGCATGTGTTCTTGCATTATTCATGAGTCTTTTATCTTTTGGTTTCTTCGGATTGGTTTCGCTGCACCGACCAGAAATCGTGGCTGTTGTAGAAGTTCTGGGATTGAAACGTATAAAAGTGGTCTCTTGGATACGAGGTAAGGGAAGCTAGTTAATTTAATTGATGAATTTACGGTGTATGTGAATGTTGTTTAATGATTTTGTATGTGTAAGAAATTGGATTCTGTGGCGATTGAATAGTCTATGTTATATGAAATTGATTTGGTTGATTTTGTATGAATGTAAAAATTTAATGAATTGTATTCGGTTGAGTTGGTGTGGACTGTTAAATAGCTATGTTCATGTTGATTGTCTTTATGCTGAGTTTATGGTTCATGGCCGAGTGAATTGTGAAGAAGTGGGATAGTGAAATTGGAGAAATTATGTTCGTTGTGAGTGTGGTCGGTATAGAGAATCTGGGTAAGTGGTATAAGACTTGTTAGAACCCTTGAGTTACTCAAAATTGTACAACAAGTAGGAAATCTGATTTTCGGTCCTTGAGTTGATGATTCTGCAGAATTGACTCTCAAATATGAGATTAAACTCTCTAAATGATGTTAGAAAGGTTTATGTATTCTTAGTTTAGTGTAGAGATGTGTATTATTCATGTTTGGAATATTAGAAGTTTGGAAAAAGGTTTAGTTTTTGGTAAAATTTGATGTGTTCATTCTGCAGAATTATGCAAAAAACTGAGGATTCGCTGTTGACCGCTTGGTCATGTGCTGATTTGGTCGGTCGGCCTTGTTCTACGCTCTGTTATTAATTAGGTTCGGTTTTTTTTTGGAGTTCTCCCAGTTCATGATCGTTTGGCCTTAGTAGCGCTCGATCTCGGTAGTGCTAAGTCTTGTACTAGCGCTCGTTCTTGGTAAGTGCTTGGTCTTGGACTAGTGCTCGTTCAATATAGTGCTCGGTTTTGTACTAATATTTATGATAGTGTTAGCGATCGATATTATTGAGTTGTGTGGTCTCTTATGAGCGCTCGTTCTCATACCAATGCTTGATATCGTACTTTTACTAAGTTAATAAAGTTTGGTCTAAGCCAATATTGTTCGTTATAAATCATAAGTGCATGATATAAGTTCAAGTGTTCAACTCTTGCTTGAGTCTTATTCTCTAAATGACCGCTCGGTCATGTTCTCGTATTGAGAGTGCTCTCCCGTTCGGTCTTGTTCATAGGTTATGTTGATCTTTCATGTTCGGTCTTTTTCCAAGGTGGGATTATTGTTTTACTGTTATGTGTAATATTTATTTAAAGATGTGATGGATGAGGAAATATGTTGTTAATGATGTATTGTATCAAAATGTGATATGAATGAAATAGTATGGATATGAAGAAGTATGATGTGATTTGTATTATATGAATATGAACGAGTGTTCCAAGGAGGAATATCTCAGAAATGGTTATGGAATTGTAAAGTATGAATATGGTCAAACTAAGATGTCGTTCATCCTGACATTCTAATGGTCACCGAGTCTCAAGTAGAGAATGGTGGCGCATGTGGTGAGAATAGCAGGAGGCCTGGTTGCGTATAGCTTGGAGTTCTAGCTATCAGACTAAAATCATGTTTAGGCTTGGGTTTCCAGCTACAGTGAGGGATGAAGGGCTAACCTCGTGTGGCGGCTTGGGTTTCCAGCTATGGTAATTCTGATGATTTTTCAGATTACCTTTCCACGAGTGCAAGAACGTCGTAGCTACAAAATTCATACAGTCCGGACAGTCAGAGTAAAGTGAACAGTCATTGCATGCATTGTTGTATGATTATGATTGGAAATGGATGATTGGTTGTTGCAAGATGGACTTATTGTTTTATATCAGATTTATGTGAGTTATCTATTTACATAGTTAATTAAATTACACTAGCTTACCCTTATTTTCCTATCTTGTCATGTCGTCCGTTCGGTCTTCTTTGTCCTTGCAATGATCACCCTTTGGGTGTGAGCAGAGTGTGCAGAACATATTCTGGAGCAGGCGTTGGCAGGAGAGGAGAGTTTCCGCTAAGATAAGTGATACGCTGTCGTTGAAGTTATCAAATTAATACTACTTTTCAAGGCAACTTCAGTATTGCCAAGTAGTATCCAAGAAAGTAGATAGGGCTAAAGTAACCTTGAGTCGTCTCCCTACGAACACGAAATTGCTTTCGAATATCTGACTCTTATGAATGTTATGTAATGCTTATGAATAAAAGTAATGATTGAAGAATGTTTAAAGAATAAATAAGAAACTTAAAAATAGTTTTGATTAAATATGCTAATTCTACTGCTTTTCCAAGATAGATTCATCATCGGTTATTCACGAATAATTGTTCAATTAATTATTGTTTAAGTTTCAAAATTAATTAAAGTACATTCTTAATTAATTTGAGGGCGATCGTGCATTTAACCAAAGTAAATTCTCAATCAAATGCAAAACCTTTCTAGATTATTCACAATAAATTCAACCAAAGTACATTCTCAATCAAATTCTATTGTGTTTAATCATGTCTATTCTTAAATCTCCTAACCAAGTTAAAAGTTAATCAATCAAAGTAAATTCTCAATTGATTATAGTTGAAATTATTACTACCAACCAAAGTACATTCTCAATTGATAGTAAAAACCATTTAATCATATGAAAGTTCCTAAATTAAATCAAAGTANTAGACATACTTTTTTACTAAAAAACATTTTTCCTTAAACACCACAAACAACGGCCTCTTAAACCACCCAGCCTTACTTCAGTAATATGAAATCGAATGGAAAAGGATAAACTTATACTGATTCTAGCATAAAGAATAACTAAGCAGACTAGTTTCCATTGCAATCCCTACCTGTGTGCAAGACCTCGTGACCAGGCAAAAATTGAAGCAATACTGTTTGTGCTGGTTTCACCACCTTTCTGATGAACCCGATAATGACGAGTTACCGTGCCATGGGCTGCCTCTGCTTCAATGGTTTTCCCATCCGGGCAAACCTGTTGCCAAATTTAGCTTCTTGAACATCCATACTAGAGATGCAATGTGGAAAAAAGAAGGCCAGAAGGAAATACAGTATGAATGAACAGAAAAGAGAAATGCTACGAAAGGTTAGAAAAGCAATACCAGCACTGATGTCATCAAGCCAAGAGAACCAAATCCTGTTCAATGGAAATTATTATAATGAATTTCAAGAAACTTAGGCCCATCCATAAACAGAAACAGCAGAACAAAGAATAACTAAAAGCTAAGTGAAATTCATGAGCATTTGGATATCCACCTTGAGCTAAGAAATCACTCTGCACATCACCATCATAATTCTTGCAGGCCCATACATAACCTCCATCACTTTTAAGAGCATAAGCAACCATATCATCAATAAGACGGTGTTCATACCTAAGAATCAAGAATATGAGTTAGCAATCTATTTGTAATAAAGGTTTCAATTAGCATGATTGCCAATTCAACTAACCATATCCCTGCAGCTTTGAACCTGTGGCTCCATTGAGCCTCAAAGACTTCCTGGAAAATGTCCTTGAATCTTTTACAAAAGCAAAGAGTTAAAAAGGTGCTTGAGGGTTTGATTAACAGCAACTACAATAGCATCTCACTTAGAACAGAAGAGCAATTAAATACAAAGAAAGATGAACCAAAAATATAACAGCATACCTTCCATCATATTTCTTTAAAATGGTATTTTTAGTGCTAAGATAGAGAGGCCATTTCTTCTGGTAAGCAAAGTTCATTGAAGCCTCAGCAAAAGCTCTAATGGACTGTTTCCAGATCAAATACATTATTATCATCCAAGCAGTAAGATATTATTTGAGAAGAATGATAAAAAAAGAAGAAGAAAGCATCATCCAGATACAAACCTCGTCAGTATTATACATGGACAAGGCTATGCCTCCAGCACCAGTAAAGTTGTAGACCTCTAGCTCTTTAATTCCTTCACCTCCACTAGGAGCTGTAAGCACACAATTTAACACTATAAGATTTCTTTGATTTTATAGGCCTCTCTAGCTCTTTCATACTAGGAATTGAAAGCAATCAATTCTCAGTTTTCATTGGGAAACTTTGCAACATCATCAAGATTGAATCTCCAAACTGCTTGAGCCATGACAAAAAGTTGACTGGAGAGTGAATTTACCAAACACCAATTTTAGCTTTCCTGGTCCATTTATAACTGTATCTGTTGCCCGATATTGGTCTCCAAAAGCATGCCTTCCAATGCATATTGGCTTTGTCCAGCCTACACCATAGAGAGATAGTAATTAACATTTGCTAAGTTGCAATCATAAAGTAAAATTCAAAATTTCAAATATGAAATAATCTTTAGCATTTTATGAACCTGAAACAAGACGCGGGATGTTTTTACATATAATTGGCTCTCTAAAAACTGTACCTGTAGAACATAAAGATTGAATGTTCCCCTAGATGTCAGATCAAATTCAGAAAACAAAGCAAGGATATAAAAACCATTAGAAAGTTTAGTTACCATTTAAAATGTTCCGGATCGTCCCATTTGGACTTCTCCACATTTGTTTTAAGTTAAACTCCTTGACCCGAGTTTCATCTATGACAGAAAAACTTTGCATGTGAATTTCATTCATAATGCATATCAAGTTACTACATAACCGTAAGTCATGACATGGAAAAAAGTATGCATCATTCCAGCTTAGAACATCTGTGAATACCTGGAGTTATAGTAGCACATTTGATTGCTACATTATACCTGCAATGAAAAATTTTCCCTGGCATGTTAGGAGACCTCAGTGTGTAAGACAAGTTTCTCTAATAATTAACGAAAACAAAAAGGAAAGCTACTCTAATCCACAGAATTCAAAAAATGATAAAATCAAAACATAAATTATGTTTTTTGGAGTTGATTATATGTCAATCTAAACCAAATACCCCTAAAAACTATATCCTCTTGCTATACTACAAGAATTCTTTCTTTCCATTCTAACCTAGACTATTGTAGGGTATCGTATTTACAGAACTGAGCATATAAAAAGTTGGCCCTTATCTCCATTTAAATCACATTTTTTCATCAAGTATAAAGGCAGTTTAGGGTACACCACAACCATGGAATGGAGCATTGCACCCTTTTATACCATCCCAGGTATAGGGAGAAATCTCAACCCAACAGCCCCAATATCCACAATTATATAACTAGGAACCTCTAAAGTGGTTTACCAGGGGGACATGACTATATGAGCAAGTCAAAGGGCTAAAGGTAGGTGAGACCAATTTCAAGCTTATAGTGAGATGATTCAATGTTGAACCAATCACTAGCTTGGTGGCACTGAAACCCAAGTTCAGTTATCCTCTGCTAAATAAAAGCATAAGAGAGTGAAAAACAACATTTCAACCACTTGAGCAAAACATTTATATACAATATTCAGAATTTGATCACAATTTTGGCTATGAAAGATCTATTTAACATTTCTGGATTAATGGAATAGCTTAATCAAATCTAAATGAGTGAAGAGTCAGCATGACTATGCACTGAATCATATTTTTGGCACTAGAAAAAAAAGACAGCAGTGTATTTTCCTTTTAACAGTGTTGAATATAATGAAAACTCTGTATGAGATTAATCTCTCTTATGTTAAATATATACATAAAGTACTCTATTTATAATAAAAAAAATATGAACTAAATCCAAAATATAAATAAAGAATAATAACAAATTAACTAAAAATAAATGATAAAGATAAAATATATAAGATACCTAATAATCTAATATATCTACCAAACAATATTACACGTTTTATCCTAGTAATAATCATGGAAGAAACAATAGAAGAGGCTGATAACAAATTCTAAAATGATACATAATATCAAGATTGAACACACACTTGAGTGTAGCTTCAGCACTTTCAATGGTAACTCTATCAGCAGTGGCATCCCGATGAGGAAGGCCAAGGTCAAAATACTTAATATTCAGCTCCAAATAAGGAAGAATAAGCTGAAAAAAAAATAAAGATAAAATATAATAAAGAAAAATACAGCATAAACCTACTTGATTCCCAAAATAACTCAAGATAAAACTACCTTATCTTTTATCATTTTCCAAATCACTCGGGTCATTTCATCCCCTACATGCGAAGACAAGGAAAGATTGATTATTCAGATCGAGAAACTGAAAGACAATCACATTTTAAGCTTCTATGGAAAAATCCTATGATTCCGAAGACAAATTCTATGAGGATGAGACCCCAATTTAACTGCATATTCAGTAGTGACTAAATCAGATAGACAGAAACACTCCATTCAAATACTTCAAATTATTATTGAGTATGATATTTTCTATCATAATTTTGCTTCAATTTCACAACTTGCTTTAATTTTCCATCTTCTAGACAAGCTTTTCATGTTATTTCAATAGTTAGCTTTGCCTAATTAAACGTTTCAATCAAGAAAAAGGCATTAAATTTAATAAAGGAAGAGACCCCCCATATGATCTCAGGTCCCAAAAATGCTTGAAGCATAACAAAAAATGAAAAAGGGAGATTGAAATTGAAAGCCCAGATAAAAAAATGGTTAAAGCACACAACTTCTCACCCTGATAGAGAACTAAGCACTCACACTATTATTAACATTCGTCAGAACCCAAAGGAAGAAAGATCACATAAACACAATAACGAGAGAAGTGTGAGAGAAGCATAAAGTGATTCATAGCATACCATCCATTTCGACGATGGGGTTGTCAACTCTGATCTTCTGAAACCCCATTTTGTTGCTAGTTTGGTTGAGGTGAAAGTGTGAACTCAGAGAGGATCAACAATTCAAACTCTCAAACACACTGAAAGGGAGAAATTGGATTGTGTTTGTGATTATGTGACTTAAAGAAAATATGTGGCGTGAATCAACACGTGATCACTGCCTCGCAATGAACAGAGTAAGCTTAGATTGCATTGAACTTACCGTTCAATCACGTTGAATGAAGGATCCGTGAGAATGGTTTGCTAATATAATAGACTAGACATCATGGTTCCTTTGTTCTTTCCACCTCTTCATCCACTTCCGACCAAAATAATACGTTATTAAAATTTTATATTATTTCAAAAGGCTTATTTATTTTATCATTTATTTTATTATTAATAAATGTTCGATTAAGTTTTCCAATTTTTAAATTATAACAATATAGTTATTTATTCTTCTTCCAATTAACATTAAAATGGCCACAAGTATTTTTTTATAAAATAACATGCTCAATAACACAACATAATATTAGTTTTTTTTTTTTCTAAATCTGAGTTAATATAATTTCAAAATTACGGATTTAGATTCAGTTTTAATATAATTACTAAAAAATACTAAGTCGTGTCTCGTAGACACGATTTCACTTTGAAGGAGTGATGAAATTTATGATTTATGACTTTTGAAAATAAAATTATGGAAGAACACGATTTTTTTAACAATGTTAAAGTAGTACTGATCAAAAGCAATTTTTGTAAAAATTAAGTTTAATTAATCAGACGTGATTAAGCTAAAAAAAAAATCGTTATATAACTAAATGAGTTTAACCAAAAGTAAATCTTATTAAACTAAAATTATACCTGCAGATGACGACTTCTATCTAAATATTGGTTATATTAAAATCGTGTTTGATATTAATGATTTCAACCTAAAATGAATTTACACTGTAATGACATGACTACTTGTGTCTATAAATAATTAAACTGAAATCATAATTTCGTGAGTGATTTCATGGTAAAAATAAAATCATACTTTTAGAAAACGACTTTGAAATTTCTATTAAAATTGTGTATATATCTCATTATTTTTCTTCTTTTCTATTTACAATGTCTTAAATATTTTTTCTGTTATTTAGAAGTCGTATCACTACTTTAAAGACTCTTTTTCCTTTCTTAAAACCTAACTTTTTTTTTTTACTTCTTTCTCTTCTATGAATTTTTCTGCATTCCTTATATTTAGATATAAACATATTTTTCTTTTTTTTTATTTTAAGAATTTAATTAATGTATTTTTTAACTTTTTACTGTGTTATATGTTTTTATATAATCAAATTTTTTTATTTTGATGTATTTATTTTAATAAAATATTTTTTATAATATTTTATATATTAAAATATTCTTTTAATAACTTCACTAATATTTTTTAAAATTTTATGTAATTTTTTAAATAACTTTTATTATTAAGCTTATACGTGATTCTTAATTACATTATTATTATTATTATTATTAAAATATGATGAAATAAAGTTATTTAACATAAAATGGCAATAAAATCACATAAAATTTAATAATAGAACTTATTTAAAATAAACTACATAACAAATAAAATATTTAAAAATTTAGTAATCAAATTATTCAAAAAAGTATTTTTAAAATACACAAAAGATTATCAAAATTTAATGTTATTAAATAAATATCTTAAAGATAAAAATATACTTATAAAAGTTTAGGAAATTTTAAATTATTTTTTAAGAATTTTTCATAAAAATGAAATGTTAATTATACATTATCTGTCTTAATATATTTAAGTAGAGCATGGCATCGATTGATGTAACAAAAAGTTAGAAGTTTTTCTTTCTCAAAGACATGTAAGGTAATCCATGAATTTAAAACCAAAGTCGCCAACATGTGTAAGGATTTCTTCTCAACACCATTAACACATTGAAGTCGTTAACCAAAAGCACGAATTTAGTTTAATTACTTTTAGGTAAAAGTAGTCAATATTAAAGATGTTTTTAATATAATTAGAATTTAGAGAAAGTTAATAACGACCGACATGTGTCAAACCCTGAATATGACACATGGAAAGAAGGGGTAGATGTCTCAAAAACAAGAGAGTGAGTATTTATTAGAATTTTTCAAACAACAACTCATATCATTTTCTCATAAATCTATATCTCTCTAAAAACTCAAGTATCTTATTTTCTACTCCTTCTCTCTACTCTCTTTCTTATATTTCTCCATCTTCTCTCTAAATTTTCTCCTTCTTTCTTCTTTCGATCAACAATTCGTTGGTGCTTGAGCACTTCTAGTATAAAGGACTTCATTTTTCACCGATCAAAATCCTCTCTTGAAGCTGGTAAGGTCCGAACCTTCTTCCTGTGAATTCTCTGTATTTTTTGTGCATGCAAGCATTGATCAGCTTGCATGTGTTCTTGCATTATTCATGAGTCTTTTATCTTTTGGTTTCTTCGGATTGGTTTCGCTGCACCGACCAGAAATCGTGGCTGTTGTAGAAGTTCTGGGATTGAAACGTATAAAAGTGGTCTCTTGGATACGAGGTAAGGGAAGCTAGTTAATTTAATTGATGAATTTACGGTGTATGTGAATGTTGTTTAATGATTTTGTATGTGTAAGAAATTGGATTCTGTGGCGATTGAATAGTCTATGTTATATGAAATTGATTTGGTTGATTTTGTATGAATGTAAAAATTTAATGAATTGTATTCGGTTGAGTTGGTGTGGACTGTTAAATAGCTATGTTCATGTTGATTGTCTTTATGCTGAGTTTATGGTTCATGGCCGAGTGAATTGTGAAGAAGTGGGATAGTGAAATTGGAGAAATTATGTTCGTTGTGAGTGTGGTCGGTATAGAGAATCTGGGTAAGTGGTATAAGACTTGTTAGAACCCTTGAGTTACTCAAAATTGTACAACAAGTAGGAAATCTGATTTTCGGTCCTTGAGTTGATGATTCTGCAGAATTGACTCTCAAATATGAGATTAAACTCTCTAAATGATGTTAGAAAGGTTTATGTATTCTTAGTTTAGTGTAGAGATGTGTATTATTCATGTTTGGAATATTAGAAGTTTGGAAAAAGGTTTAGTTTTTGGTAAAATTTGATGTGTTCATTCTGCAGAATTATGCAAAAAACTGAGGATTCGCTGTTGACCGCTTGGTCATGTGCTGATTTGGTCGGTCGGCCTTGTTCTACGCTCTGTTATTAATTAGGTTCGGTTTTTTTTTGGAGTTCTCCCAGTTCATGATCGTTTGGCCTTAGTAGCGCTCGATCTCGGTAGTGCTAAGTCTTGTACTAGCGCTCGTTCTTGGTAAGTGCTTGGTCTTGGACTAGTGCTCGTTCAATATAGTGCTCGGTTTTGTACTAATATTTATGATAGTGTTAGCGATCGATATTATTGAGTTGTGTGGTCTCTTATGAGCGCTCGTTCTCATACCAATGCTTGATATCGTACTTTTACTAAGTTAATAAAGTTTGGTCTAAGCCAATATTGTTCGTTATAAATCATAAGTGCATGATATAAGTTCAAGTGTTCAACTCTTGCTTGAGTCTTATTCTCTAAATGACCGCTCGGTCATGTTCTCGTATTGAGAGTGCTCTCCCGTTCGGTCTTGTTCATAGGTTATGTTGATCTTTCATGTTCGGTCTTTTTCCAAGGTGGGATTATTGTTTTACTGTTATGTGTAATATTTATTTAAAGATGTGATGGATGAGGAAATATGTTGTTAATGATGTATTGTATCAAAATGTGATATGAATGAAATAGTATGGATATGAAGAAGTATGATGTGATTTGTATTATATGAATATGAACGAGTGTTCCAAGGAGGAATATCTCAGAAATGGTTATGGAATTGTAAAGTATGAATATGGTCAAACTAAGATGTCGTTCATCCTGACATTCTAATGGTCACCGAGTCTCAAGTAGAGAATGGTGGCGCATGTGGTGAGAATAGCAGGAGGCCTGGTTGCGTATAGCTTGGAGTTCTAGCTATCAGACTAAAATCATGTTTAGGCTTGGGTTTCCAGCTACAGTGAGGGATGAAGGGCTAACCTCGTGTGGCGGCTTGGGTTTCCAGCTATGGTAATTCTGATGATTTTTCAGATTACCTTTCCACGAGTGCAAGAACGTCGTAGCTACAAAATTCATACAGTCCGGACAGTCAGAGTAAAGTGAACAGTCATTGCATGCATTGTTGTATGATTATGATTGGAAATGGATGATTGGTTGTTGCAAGATGGACTTATTGTTTTATATCAGATTTATGTGAGTTATCTATTTACATAGTTAATTAAATTACACTAGCTTACCCTTATTTTCCTATCTTGTCATGTCGTCCGTTCGGTCTTCTTTGTCCTTGCAATGATCACCCTTTGGGTGTGAGCAGAGTGTGCAGAACATATTCTGGAGCAGGCGTTGGCAGGAGAGGAGAGTTTCCGCTAAGATAAGTGATACGCTGTCGTTGAAGTTATCAAATTAATACTACTTTTCAAGGCAACTTCAGTATTGCCAAGTAGTATCCAAGAAAGTAGATAGGGCTAAAGTAACCTTGAGTCGTCTCCCTACGAACACGAAATTGCTTTCGAATATCTGACTCTTATGAATGTTATGTAATGCTTATGAATAAAAGTAATGATTGAAGAATGTTTAAAGAATAAATAAGAAACTTAAAAATAGTTTTGATTAAATATGCTAATTCTACTGCTTTTCCAAGATAGATTCATCATCGGTTATTCACGAATAATTGTTCAATTAATTATTGTTTAAGTTTCAAAATTAATTAAAGTACATTCTTAATTAATTTGAGGGCGATCGTGCATTTAACCAAAGTAAATTCTCAATCAAATGCAAAACCTTTCTAGATTATTCACAATAAATTCAACCAAAGTACATTCTCAATCAAATTCTATTGTGTTTAATCATGTCTATTCTTAAATCTCCTAACCAAGTTAAAAGTTAATCAATCAAAGTAAATTCTCAATTGATTATAGTTGAAATTATTACTACCAACCAAAGTACATTCTCAATTGATAGTAAAAACCATTTAATCATATGAAAGTTCCTAAATTAAATCAAAGTAAATTCTCAATTAAACCTAGAAACCCTATAACTCATATAATCAATATGCATGTAGATTCAAACACATTATGATGCAAAAATCTTTACTTTTAACAAGATAGAGAGATGAAAGACATAGAGAG